GCAGCGCCGTCGTTGGCCCCCTCGTCTGGATCTGGGGGGCCAGGTAGCTTCAGTTCTGAACTAAAAAGCATGAAAACATCACGGAGCACAACGCCGCGGCCTGATGCTACGTTCAGGCGAAGAGGGAGCAGTAACGTCGAGCCCGACGACCTGTCAAGTACCGAGGAACGCCAGGCTGCGATCCGAAATAAGATTGCGAAGGAGATGAAAATTAAAACAGGGACGGAGAATATGCTCGAGGCATTGCTGGCCAAGAACCCGAAACAAACCAAGGAGCAGAGATTAAAGGTGGAATCGGAGTTGAGCTCATCGAATCGAAAGCTCGCCGAACTCCATCATGAACTGGAGGAGGAACTACTACGTGCGCAGGCGCCGTCCACTCCTCCGCGGAGTCGCCTATCGTCTCTATTCCAAGGTAGCTCCATGCGATCACCGTCACACAGCAATGTGGAGCTGGATGAGGGTCAGCCGGAGGATGGAGAGGCGGAAATGGAGTCACCGACATATGTGCTTGCAGAGACGTTACAAGCACTGGAGATTGAGGGTATGTCGCCAGACTACTATGTTGAACGTGCAAATAGCCTTGTTGAACTCTTCAAACGACATCCCACCTTGAAGTATGACCTAGCGTGGTCTGTCTTCGGGTTGCGCGTTCAGGTCATGCTCCTAAGTGACAACAAGGAAGTCGTGGCAGCTGGTTACAGGTTGACTCGCTATGCCATTGCGGATCGGAAATCCCTCCAGATTATCCGTTCATTACACACGGACGAGCTAGTAATCTTGTCTCTTGTCAAAGAGAGCAAAGCAAGTATTGAGCGTGAACAAGCCTTGAAATTTGTCAGGGCTTTTCTGGATGTCAAGGATGGTGTGCGTGAAATCTCGCGCGCTGTGGTGCGGACTATTGTCTCCGTTGCTGAGCATTACGAGGATCGCCTCAGAAACATCTCGATTATGACCCTCGCCGAAATTCTAGTTAAAGAGCCAGAGCTTATTGCCTATGCTGGTGGCTTTGCGACATTGCATGATGCCTTGGCAGAAGGGACATTCGGAGCTTCCGAGTCTTTAATAGCGAGCTTTCTGCATGTACTTGACACTCCACAGAGTAGGAAGCACCTGCGGGGAGGGACCGAGCTCGAAGCTGTTCTTGCACCCTTTACCGATTCACTAGCAGACAGCGTTCGCAACGGCCGGTTAAAGTCATCCGCTAAAGCTATATCGGCGATGCTCAAGACGTGGCCGGGCTTAGTAGTCCTCGCAAGGAATGGTGCAAAACCTTTACAGTCGCTCTTGGAATCTTTGCACTACCCCGACTCGCAGGCCAGAGATCTGATCATGGAGCTTTTGTTTGATGCCCTAAGAATTAAACCACCTTCATGGTCCTCATCTTTCCTTGCGGGCCGACGGCTCACAACTTACGGCAGAGTCTCAAATCTTCGCTCAGAGACAGACACAAAACAATACCGCGGGTACTACGACGACAATGAGAGTAAATTTGATCTAACAGCACACTTCTCTACCCTCATCCTCGCGACCTTAGTGGATGCAGGATTGTCTAAGGTACGCGCCCCTCTTGATTTGGTCTTGTATTGGCTCTATTATTGCCGGCTTTGCTAACAGACATAGGCGCTCTCTGAGCTCATCGAGGATGAAGAGGATTTGTCTCTCAGACGCAAAGCAACATTGCTCTTGACCGAAGTTTTAAAGCTAGCCCAACACTCTCTGCCACAGGAAATCAGCTCCAAACTCCAGGTCCTTCCGCACTTATTGCCTGCCGCAATCAAGTTTGATGTTGACAACCATGATGTTTCCATGGCCACAATTTATCAGATCGAGAGCATAAACAGAACCTTAGCCCGTTCGATTGGTTTCTCGAATGGGGCTGGGCGATATAGTGTGGATGTTGACATCTCCGCCTCTCTTCTATCTAGTGACCAAAGTAAAGACAAACTGAGCCCTACAATGGATGAAACTCAATTTCGCAATGCGATTCTAGAAACGCATGTCTTGAACACAGTGAACTACCTAAAGTGGAAGTGGGATCTTATCCACCGCATCGTCGAGGGACCCCTGACGAACCCTAAGAGGCTAGATGAGGCGATTAAAGGATCCAAGTTCATGAAGCGACTCATGGGATTCTATCGGCCTTTCAAGTACAGGTTTTCAATGCTTCCGAATACTAAGCCAAACCAACGCTACGTTCGAACAGGTTGCGCACTGATGCGCACCCTAGTCTCGATTCCCGAGGGCACAAAGTATTTGGCTGAGAACAAATTCCTTAGGCAGGTTGCGGAATGCCTTGCTCAAGTAGATCGCATGAGCGGACTTACATCCTCATCGCCTCTCTTCTCGCGAGAACAGATGGCTAACACTCTGAGTGGAGGGTATTTTGCCCTGTTGGGCACATTAACCGGCGATGCCAACGGGCTTGCTATGATGGAGCGGTGGCACATGCTCAACATGTTTTACCATATTATTGAGCTACGGGATCGAGACGATCTCATACAGACTCTTTTGGGCAATATGGATTACACCCAAGACAGCCACCTGAGAGTTATGCTATCTAAGGCTCTCACGACTGGCTCAAAGGACATTCGTATATTCGCAACTAAGCTGCTCCGGAAATACGCGGTGGGGAATGTTCCACTCTCGCCACAGATGGCCATAGGCAATGCAGACTGGGTCGTCAAGCTTCTTGTCACCCAACTGTACGATCCTGACGTGTCTGTATGCCAGATGGCCGTAAAGATTCTCGAAGAAGCATGCAACCATCGAGATTATCTTGAGTTTGTGGTCAAATGCAGGCCATCCCTAGACCACCTGGGTGAGATCGGCGCACCCTTGCTCTTGCGCTTTTTATCCACCTCAGTAGGTTATCACTATTTAGATGGACTCGACTACATCACACAAGAAATGGACGATTGGTTCCTGGGCCGGAACGATGCGTATGTGGGTCTTGTGGAGGCCGCTCTATCACGGGCCTACGTCGATCAGCCGCGAAGAGGCAGTTTTGTTCCGGAAGACCTTGTCGATCTGCAGGACATCGGGCTGGTCCCACCGCATTTTTACCGAGAGCTTGCCCGAACCGCGGAGGGCTGCAAGCTTCTTGAGCAATCGGGTCATTTTAGCGAATTCGCCTGGACAATCCGTGATTTTAGTCTGGATGAGGAAGACACCGAGGTTCTGCTCAAGGTCAAAGGCTGTCTTTGGGCTGTTGGGAATGTTGGCTCCATGGAATTAGGCGCCCCGTTCCTCGAACCAGATATTGTTGAGCGCATAGTTAAGATCGCTGAAAGTGCTGAGGTTCTAACGATGAGGGGAACCGCTTTCTTTGTCCTTGGCTTGATCTCCCGCAGCCGACACGGTCTCAAGGTACTGAGGGATTTTGGTTGGGACTCTGCTTTCGATCAGAAGGGAAATTCTCTAGGACTGTGCCTTCCCACCGATTTCAATAAATTGTTCCTGGTATGTTCTACACTATTTAACAATTCGGAGGATACCACAAGCAGACACTAACAGCTCCAATCTTTGCCAGGTGGACTTCCCTTCACATTCAAGAAATCGAGAATCCAAACGCATATCTCAAGACAAGTTCAAGGAAGCTACCACCGATTCAGATCCCACCAACCAAAAGATCATAAAGCTCATTGTCGATATGGGTAACACCGTCCTATCCAAGCGAGCGGCGGCGGATCTTCATAGGTACATAACCCGTAGTTCTCAAGCCATGCCATCTACTCCAGAATAATCCCGCTAATCACTGCTATCTACCTAAAGCATAAAGTCAAAGCAACCCGAACGATTTCACCAGCCACACCTATTCCGCAAAACCCTCGGCATCCTCGAAAGCCATCACTTCCGCCTTCCTGCCCGACGCTTCGCCCTGGACTTATTCGATAAAAGCGTCATGCGACGAATAGTAATGGAGGACGACTCCGATACCGACTCAGAAGTAGCCTCCTCCCAGGAATCGGGCTAAGCTAAATGAACGTATTAGTTTTTCCAGTTCCTCCCGCCGCCGTCAGCTTACAATATAAAACCGAAGTAACATCTCATCCATCTATCCCGCAAACCCCGCCCTCGAAAGCTAGCCTTCAGCGGACGGTACCACTGTGAGAAAACCTGGGACAAGACACTTGCGCCGTCAGACGCTTCCACATTACGAGGTCAAGAGTACCAGTCTCAGTATTCCACCTCACACACAAAAGCGTCCACCTCCACCGACGCTTCGTTCTCGACCCAGCGTCATATGGCAACTAGGAACTCTTCCTTGCCCCCTCCATCTCCCTCTGTCAGAGTTATGTTATACCCAACAGTATCATAGAAACAACAAATCCATATACATACATGCATACATACCCCTGAATCTGGATCTTCAACAGCTTATTACAGCTATCTTTAGTGCTATGTTTTGGTACGGCGTTGGATGGGTTTTGGGCTCACGAGCAACGAAAGGATGTTAGCATGTGATATCTTTCTTTATTTTTATTTTCATGACTTGCCCTCTTCTTACTTGCCTTGCTTTCAGTAGCCTTTCTGAGGTTGTTCAGTGGAGGAAGAAAAAGAAAGAGAAGGAGCAAATTAACCAAGCAGACAAATTCATGAACAGGACCCTTGGTTGTGACCCCTTTTTGGATTCTAAAGATGGAAGCCTGTCTTGATCTCATTGTATTGTATATACAACATGAGTATCTACGTATGTGGAAAACTACTTACCTTTTCCCTATTTTTGTTTCGTTTCCCGTCTGAGTAAGGCTTTTCACTATGCTCACTCACTTACCAAATTCGTTTGGACTCCTCCTAGGGAATTTAAGGCTTGTATTGTGTATGGCACTACATCTTGTGATTGGGAATCTTATTCAGAATATTGAAGCTGAATTTTTTAGCACCTTGCTACCCCTCAAAATCTGACCTATACCAACTATTTAGTAATACTTCCTAACGTATTGGACTAACTGACGTAGCTAGATCTCCATTAAGCATCGCCCCCACGGGTGGTTCCATTAATGTTGCACCTTCAGTGCAGTGTTCTGGCGGTAGCCGTCCAATCCGGCTTGATCGTAATCATGATCAGGTTCATCTTCCTCGGCCCCGTCAAGAGAAAGGAGCTGGAACCGATTGAGGGCTGAAATAGATATCTTGGAAGGCAGCTGTGACTCTTTCTTCAACCCATTGGTAAGCTTGGGCAGAGACTCAGCGCACTCATCCGGATAAAATGCAATCCTCATCCCTTTATATGTGAGTCGAGACATCATGCAAGAGCGTGCAAACAGTGCGTTATGTACGGAATTGGTGGAAATGTAAGCGTTTCCGTTCTTAAATTTGACTGTGATGACGATGAGGTTATGGATGTGGTCGAGGTCGTTCCGGATAAGCCATTCCGTGACGTTGGGGTGCACATTGTATAGGACAAGGTTACGTGAAGCTCCGTTGTTGATCTTAGCCCTGACAAAAGGGGGGAGGTAAAACTGGCGATCATTCCAAGATATCTCCACCTGTCATCAATGTTAAACATATTAGTCGTAAACTACCTTGGCGTTGGGCAACGTACACGCTTTCCAGCAATGCAAACCCCGTGAATTTTTGCATGCTGAAAGAATTCCTGTGCGTTTGCCTCCTCGACGAACGAAATGCTGGCCATGCGCTCCCGCGTTCGAAGGTGAACATGGAGAAGAGCGCCGCCCTTTATGGGTTCAACAATATCTCTGTGAGTAACACGATCGGGGAGGCCACGGAGCAGGATGGTTCGCTGAGGGGTGGAAGCTATCGACGACCCTGAGCTTCCAGAGGAGCCTTCATAATCATCCCTATCACTATCTTGGGAAGCTAATAGGACACCCGCTTCATCGTCATCATCGTAGCTTTCCCAACGCTTGTGGTCGTTGGATAGATTTGCTCTTTTAGGGGATGGAGTTTTCTTGCATACCAAGGGACTTTCAGTGCACACCTTGCTGCTATTCTGATTATCAGATAGAGGTGGTGAACCGTATATTAATATCTAGGTAACGAGGTCAGCAAATTGATGACGCTGAGGAGAAGTGGAACCTGACATCGAGAGTTTCCTGAGACAATCCGCCATTCAAAAGCGACTTCTTTAGCTTTGCTGTGGTCATTCAGTCAGAAATGAGCGTAGTGCAGCATAGGCATAGTGCTATGCGGACATGGGTAGGAAACGTACCGAACTGAGTTGATACTGCAAGCTGATTCAATGTCAGCTCGCCGAATCTCTGCATTTCCTATCAGGGGATGTGGTAGCCTTCTTGGCAGTACTCACCAGATCTTGGTACTCTGAGTTTGCGATGGTCACCAAATCTGAATTCGTAGAGCTTTTGTTTTCCTGGGACGAATGCTGTTTCGGGTTTGTGGTCCCAAGAATGAGTAGATCATCACTACGATGCAAAGTATAGGTTATTGGACTCACAATTTCTGCTCTAACACAGCATGGCATTAGTAAATGCATGCAATCACTGTAATGGGATTTACAAGTTGACCATTCTGGAGAAAAAAGAAACAGGGGAAGAAGGCAAGTCCGCAATAGACGGACGGGATGTGCTAATATGCGCAAAAATACAAAAGAAAGCCTTCAGAGAAAAGAAAACCTCCTAATGCTCACCTCTGTAGTAGAGATTCAAAGTGACGTTTCTCAACAGTAATAAATGAAGAAGACATGGTAGCCAATTCTCTGCCTACAACCTGATTTTGATTTAGTACAAGGTGGGCCGAGAACAGTAGTGAAGAAAGCTTACCTCAGAGAGACTAAATAATAGAGATTGATTGCACCGGTCCAACTTAAAATGAGAGAAAAGTGACAGGAACAGTGAGTGAATGAGTGAGTAAGAATCGGGAAGAGAGACAGAAGAAAGCATGCAGCAAGAAGAGCTGAAAGTCTCGTGCTTTCCTCAAGACATATCACAACGTCACCCCACGTTACTTCTGCAGGCGCGATCAACGAACTAACTTAACGTCACCTCTTAGCCCTCCCCCTTTCCTGATAAAGTACTTGATACTATCAGAGAGTGTTTAGCTCTTCTCCACTCAGGAGCTGAGCTCGATCACTTCCATCCTATGAGCGACCAACACAGCAGAATGGATGCAGATGATATGCAAGACGGCCAGAAGACAATATGCATGGCCCCTCCTATTATGAAATGTTGGTCATGATGGGCACTCACTCATGTTGGCCCAACGAGGCGAAACCCAAAGAAGAGGAAATTACTGGTTAGACTAATTAGTATATCCTCAACCTGAATCCTGTCAACAACGCTGTGTGACGGACGCATAGCCACTTGGGTGGCTTTGGACAAGTCAGAAATTCGAGCCCAATGTCTCTGTGCCAATGCGCGCGGCACCGGGATCGTCCCGTTCTGAAGTATTGGCGATACGCTCTCAACGACGCAAGGCGCCTAGTCTCTTGTTCCAGTGCTATCCATGGCTGGATATGGATCTGCTTACCGCTCATCTGAACCAACGGTTTACGCCTTGTTCGTCTTTTAAATTTTTTCTTTTTATTTAACTTATTATTTATTTATTTATTTTTTTTTTCAAAAGAAAGAAGAAAAAAAAAGAAAAAGTACTTCCGGCATTTCTTAGTCCTAATCTTGAGGTTCTATCTCCTTCCCTTCTCAGCTCTAGGTGAAAGGAATGTACGCTACTATATGGATCGTCGGCGCATACTGCAGCCAACGCCTGGATTACATGAACAGGTGTTCAAATCCTCCAGTCGGCCTATATATCCCGATCGTACATGAGCCACTTCGAATACTATCCGACTGTCAGTCCCCACGGTTGATGCCTGTACATGCATCTATCACCGCGGATGGATGTACAAAGCAGGCTCCGCCTAGGATAGGAATATATAGTATATCCAGCCACTGGATCATAAACCGTCTCTATCTCCGATGGGGTTAAAAGACAGTATATAAGCCTGAGGAAGGCACTTATGTTAAAGACAGCTCTGGTGCACAGCCGCTAAGCTCTCAATGCAGCCTTGTGGCAGGGGGTTCAAGTGCATCCACAGCCAGTAAGGACACAGGCCAGGCAGCAACCATCTCAGCACAGCACACCAAGTTTGCCAGGCTACTTCAGATTGATTACTGATTGGCAATAAGGAACTGTCGCTAGCCCAAGATGGTGTGTAGAGCCACCGCAATTGCACGCATGTTTCAACAAATTTCTAGAGTGTCACCCAGAATCTCTAGTTGATTCAGGAGTTCGTCCCCCGTCCTCGTCTTCGCTTTCGCCCTCGGTCTGTGGCTCCGGTGGTATCCTTGGGGGTTCTTGCTCGGCTTGAACATTTCGTCGCTCTTCTATTATTCCTTGTCGCCTCGACCGCAGGATTTGAACTCCATTAGCAGCCACCTGTGCTACGAACATAGCAAGAAAAATGCCTATTACAAGGGTCTGCGGAATATAAGTCTCGGAATCCTGATTTTCTGCCAGCTGTCGCGAATTATCAGTTGACAAGCCGGCAGAGCCGAAGGTAACAGAGAACGACATGGAAAACGGGGTGAGATATGTCGAAACCCTTGGTGACGAGAACGGTATGGATGATGCGACCGGGCCCATTATGATCGGGACTAGAGCAAAGACGAGGAGAGGGACGGCTAGTCATAAGGCAGAGGCAATGGATGGCCGGGATCGAGCCGTCCTGGTCAGATAGTGCATGGTGAGTAACACATCATTGCCAAAGGTTTTCCGAGCTGAATGATCAGCGGTACATACCATTCACGAGATTCCAGCTTTCTTACCCAGCGTGCAGTGATCTTCAATCTTTCTCTGACACTTGTTGTCGATAGAAGCGTATACCTTTCCTCTTCCCAGACAGGTAACACGCTGGCAAACCACCAGGGAAAATGTGAAGCTTCCGTTGGAATATCACCATACGCTAAAAGCACACGAGGATGGAGCCAAGGAGCGGCTTGGCTGTGTTGCTTCCTTACAAAGTCCAAGCCCAACTGGAACAGCTGCTGTGTTGACATAGATTCGAGTGGCTGCTCACCCGAACCATCCGCGACTGATGTCTCCAAGGCCTCCTGATTTTCCTCTTCTATTACCGAAATATCATCCACGCGCTGTATCCTGCCAACATAGTACATGTCCAGCACATATGAACTGAGCACCTTAAAACGGTACAGCCCAGTAGCAACCACTAGGCTCCTCCCATCGGGGAGCAGCTCATAACGATCGATGACCAAAGCGGTACCATACTGCATGAATTGAGACCTTCCAAGTCCTTGCTGGAAACGACCGGCACGGTTAAACATGACCATGCCGAATCTACGCTCCCTACTTTGCATGACTCTTTGCATCATAAGCCGATAACGTGCCTCGAAGACATGCAGAAAAGTTGGCATAGTTGGGAGAGAAAGTGAGCTGACAAACAAGGGAAGTGTTGCTTCGTCATCGAGTGCAGTCACTTCCTGGGCACTTGTGTCTCTTCGTAAAGCGACTTGTTCAGGGAACAAGGTCTCCATGATGTCAGAGATTCTTTTGTTTAAAGGCTCAGACTTCACAGTCGACGCCATATTCAGTTTACGGCGACAGGCAGGGCATAGATCAGAGTGGTCCAGTGCCATTGCAACACATCCGCGACAGAAGGTATGGCCACAGGATGTTGTCAACGGATCTAGTATAAGCAAATAGCAGACCTGGCAGTCCAGCTCATCCCGAACAGCGTCCTTAAGTCTTTCCAAACGCTGGTTTTCTTGGTTTATAGGCTCGTACATCTCAATTTTGAGATCCGACGCATCATAATCGAAACGACCGCACTTGACTAGGCCGTACATACCCTCTAGTAATCCTCCCGCAGCATCTGCACTTTTCGCCACCGTTCCGGGCTGACCACCTTTCAATCCTGTCCATGTCACTCTGAAGCCACGTCCATTCTGCGAAGACGATTCCGAGCTAGCATTGGCGTTGCAAAGTACCGCATCAAAAACATCCACCAACCTACCCAACAGCACGTCGGCCCCACAGTCACCTAAGCAGTGTTCCCCAGCACAACCGTTATCCGTACCCCAATGGCATGTGAACCCCTTTTTGCGTTCGTCGCTCGCCGGATATGTAATCCCCGTCCGCGCATGAATTGGCGGCAAGCAAGACCGACATAACGTGTTCCCACATGGAAGCCGCAGCGGCGCGCGGAGAGGCCGCGAGCAACAAGAGCATTGAACGAGGTGGATGAGAGCATGTACTGTAGCCGTCAAACCCGAGCCAGATATATCCGATGAGGGCGAGGCCGATGACCTTGCTGTCAAGTGGTTTGTGTCATTCCGCGGGGAGAGCGGAGATGTCGCATTCGCGGGACATGGTTTGTCTTCTTCCATTTAGCCCGAGAATCTTGTGCCTGATCTCAGTGTAGATTTAATATACTAGGTACGTGTGGAGGAATGAATACTTGTTATTAACGATGAGATTAGTTAACCATTTTAGCAGTTGTTGTTGGTTGGGGAGAAGTGGAGACAGTCAAGTCTATTTATTCTTAAGTTTCAAAACTACTGGTTATAAATAAGACGGAGTGTCTTCCGACGTCCCGGGACTGATTCCTCTCTGGCTTGCCTAATTTAACCGTTTCTGGCAGATGGGGTCTGGGCATTTGTTCTACACCAGTTTACCCAGCACGTTAGTAGTAGCAGAGGTAGTAAGCAGACGGGAGCCACCTACTGCTACTAACTACTAACCAAGACAACATCTGATCATCTCAGTTAAAGTCGTAATCTTGCATTTTCTGGCGGACATCCGGGTCACGTGACATCAAATGTATTCCAGCTGTCCAGAAACCGTTAAACAACCACACAAAAAAAAAGAAACCCAAAGACATAATATAGGATAACATCCGGATGGCTCTCTTCTCTGAACAGGAAAAAAATATTGGGTGATATTTGAGATACCTGGCCTATACTAAATCCAGCATCGACAGAGCCAGTAGTATCGCACCATAACAATTCCACCCCAGCGACAACCAGATCCGAACCATAACCGATTGCCCTGGAAGCACGCTCCAAATCTCCTCCCCAGTACACCTGATAGATACCATTCCGCGTCCTTTTTTGTATTCCCGTCGGTCGTCCGTAAAATGGGTCTTTTTTTGATTTGAAGGCCGTTTAACGGTAGGATTTCTGGTACCTGGCGCGGGCACCGCGACCACCGAACTTCTTGGGCTCCGTGCGACGGTTGTCGGCAACGAGCAGTGTGCGGTCGTACTGGACAAGAGCCTGCTTCAGCTGGTTCTTGGAGTGCTCATCGACGTACTTCTGGTAGTAGGCGACGAGGGACTTGGCGATAGCCTGACGGATGGCGTAGACCTGGGAAGTGTGACCACCACCGGAGACGCGGACACGGATGTCAACACCGGCAAACTTGTCGGCACCGACGATGAGGAGAGGCTCGTAGACCTAGATTTCATGCATCAGGTGGGGGTTGTTCCGTTTGGGTTGTTCATTTTCCTTGATTTGGCGTACCTTGAAGCGGAGGATCTCAGGCTGGACCAGAGAGAGGGGCTGGCCGTTAACCTTGATGAGACCCTTGCCTTGCTGTAATGATTCTCAGCATTTGTTCCTTTTCCATAAACCGTTTCTTGCAAAAATCGAAATAGCAGAGCGCATGTCGCCGGTTCAAAACATCATTCAATCACCATCCTCTCTTCTTTCTTTCCGATGAACACTCTTCCCCTCCTCTTTGAATATATCGTAATGTCATGTCTTTTCTTTTCTCCGTTCTTCCATTCCACTCGAGCGATAATTTGTCCCCGGACGACCATACACAGTGCGACAGGATAGACAGAAAGAAAGAGAAAATTGGTTGCATACCTTGCAGTGGGCGACAGCGGTAGCTATAAAAATTCAAGTCAGCAATTTTATTTCTTCCCGCAAACACCCCCTTTCAATATAGGGAAAAAAAAATTCCCATCAGGCACAAATTCTTACCCGTCTTCTTCTTGCCGAAGCATTGCACACTCGGGACGGAAGCCATGGTGATCGAATGGCCCTGATCGGTGTCGGGAAGGGGAGTGTGGTGAAGTTGTCGTCGTCTTCCTGTTATTCGAATCTGCGGTGATGGGGTTCAGAATCCGTGCGGGTGACTTCGCTTAGTGCGACTCCGCTAGGGCTTGCCGCTGGTCACGTGTCACGTGATGCTCCGCCGGGGCGGCTGAAGTTTGGGTCTCCATCGGAGGTCGGGATAGAGACTTGCTTTGCGCGATTGTTGGTTTGATTACCGCGGGGACGGGTTAATTGTGTTTCTTTTTATAGTTCTTGGGTTTGTCTTGATCGATAGAAAGAACTGTCACCATGTCGCAGACTGTTGGAAAGGTAATTAATTCCTATCAGTGGTCTCTTGACCTTCCATTATCAATGTCTATGTTTGTTTCTACCGGAACCTCTCTGCGATGACATATCTACATTGCAGCACATGGATTGAACCCTTCCATCGGACCGGAACTTACTCAATGCTAATACCTTGGATTGATATAGACCCGTCTCGCCTACTCTCGGGCCTGGCACCATGTCGACGTCGGCACCGACCCGCGCAGTCTCGGCCGGCTTGCTTCCTCCATCGCCCTCTTCCTGATGGGCAAGCACAAGCCTATCTATGATCCTTCCACCGACTGCGGTGACTATGTCGTCGCTGTGGGCTGCCACGATTTGAAGACCACCGGCAAGAAGCGCTCCCAGAAGCAGTACTACACGCACACGACTCGCCCCGGTAGTCTGCGGACCATGACGATGGACAAGATGTTCGAGAAATGGGGTGGCGGTGAGGTCCTACGACGGGCTGTCAAGGGCATGCTGCCCAAGAACCGGCTGCGGGAGAAGCGGTTGGCTAGACTGAAGAGTATGTCTATGTTTTCCTTTTACATGATTACCTACCTTATGGGGAATGGTTTTTGGTCATCGGCGATGGAAGTGATTGGGTGTTTCAACGATTGGAAGATGGATTGCTAACGACAAATACGATATAGCTTTCGAGGGTCTGGCTCATCCGTATGAGGAGAACATTGTCAAGCACGGGAATCAGTCGGTGATTGCCAACTTGCCGGAGGTGAAGGAAGCGTTTAAGGAGGCCAAGACCCAGGCATAGTTTTTTTTTTTCTTTTTCCCTTGGGTCATTTCTCGATGGTCTATTGTATTTCTTCGTCTGTAATTTTATGTCTCTTCCTGTTTATCTGCTAGCGCATGGGTGGGAGTTCTTTTGATCTGTTCTGATACAATGTTTGGGCTTTTCGTTCCTGCTCCCGGAAGATGCTTCCGGGAGATTGTTACTTGCATCTACACATATACGGTGCATTTGTACTATACGAGCCGAAGTGGAAGTAAAAACAAGTGAATGAATGCTATACCCTATCCCAGACTATATACAGTTTGCCTTGGAAACTCCGGAACGTGAGAATCATGTAGTTTACAATTTAGACTTCAGAGAGGACCGTCCAACGGTACACTTGATCAGACCGTTGGGGTCCGACTGAGGAGCGAAGACCTCGGCATTCTTGCCGGTGTTCTGGAGGCCCTTGTGCCAGCTCAGGTCTAAAGTTTAATTCGTTAGCGACAGCTTCAAAACAAAGTATACCGGAAATTGCGCAAAACCTACCAATCTCGAAATAGTGCTTGTTAGGCAACGAGTACTCGACGGTCTCGACCAGCTGCTGGCGCGCCAGGATCTGCTCTGCCATCTTGTACATGGTGTTCTGCACGCTGGCACTGTTATCCTCGGCAAAGGTCTTGAGGGTGATCTCGCGAGCAGCGGCCCAGGTAGCATCGAACTTGGACACTTGCGAGCGGACCTCATTGAGTCCACTGAAGTTCTTCCACTGCCAAGAGGCATCCACATCGGTGCTCAGAATACGGTCCCAGGTCTCCTTGAGGGTGGTGTACTCGTCACGCAGGAAGCCCCAGAACTGGGAGTTGGTGCTCTTCAGGACGGTCAGGCCGGACAGAGACGACTTGATATCGATGCCCTTGCCCTCGACCACATCCACCTGCACGTTCCGCTTCTCCTCGCTGTCGCGGATGAATGAGTGCGGGTGGGGCTTGCCGTCAATGTCCATCCGAGACCAGCGGTGGCAGACGATGTTGACGTGAGCGGCATGGATGTGCTTGTACTTCTCAATGAAGTGTGTGCCGAGGATGGAGCCGAACAGCTCGGGAGGGTTAACGGGGTTCTGTTTGGCGGTAATGTAAATGGTGTTCTTGATGGAGTCGGTTGCGACAATGACACTGTTGTCGGCCTTGGTGTAACTGTAATCCTCGGTTGTCAGCCAAACTTTCAAGGGATCGGGTATAGGCCGGAGGTGACTTACGAGGTCTCAATCTCTCCCTCCAGAAGCACACAGACGGTCATCTCGTACACCGTCTGGATACCAGTCTTCTCGTCCTTGTGGACCTTGTAGACGCGGACATTGTCCTTGCCGTAGCGGGCTGCTGTTACTGCGGACATCTTGATGTATAGAATTGGAGGGTATATAGCAGAGGATTTGGAGAAGTACAAGTGGGATTGAGGATCGGGGGCACCGGAAGAAATAGAACTCAGCAGTGAGGTTTTGGAACAAGACAAAGAGGAAGTCACAGGACAATTGTCACCAGCTTTTAAATACTTTGGATCCCGTTTAAATCCCGGAAGTAGGAAAAGAGCGACGGAATGGTCTGATGGGCCTCGTCGGCCACCTCCGAAACCCGCGCTTCGCAACGGGCGCAACCCTCCTTATCTTATCACTGGGCATCTTATCGATAACATCCTTTTATGCTTTGTTGCTACGGAGTACAAAACCACTGAGTCTCCCAGGGCTTCGTCCATGGAGATCGGCGTTTGTTCTCTTAATCCCGGAAATACAGCCGTGGATGGTCTGATCTACATTGATCAAAGGCGCATCACCGACTGAATCATGTCGCAATGGGTTGTCTTTCATACACACCTCGTATCCGTAATGGAATAACATGAAACATCCCCCTGCCTATGGTCAAAGGGGGCAGTGGAATGTTTGCGCACCGATGATTCTGGGGACCCTTTCTTTCCTTCGGTAGGATACGAAATGGGAGGATGTGTGTTCTGCGATTCCACTACTATTGTGTCGGGGTCCAAAAGAGGGTGAGAACACGCTGCGGAGTAAAGAAAAAGAAAAAGAAATAGGAAAAAAAAAAAAAATAAGACACGCAACCTCTTCTCTTTCTCCACCCCCGAAGATCGTTACAACGTCACTCCCGGACATCCACCAGGTACAGATTTGGCGTCCACAAGATGACATCTCTGATCTCCGAACGGTGTAAACGCCCTCCATGGCTCTTACGATATCGCTCGTCGACGGTGTTCATTGTTGCAACAGTATGGACGTCATTGTTCACGGTGAGTGGCTGCGCCCTTGAATTACGCAAAGGAGCAGAGCTAACGACACACAAGGACTACTATCTATATGCCATGGTGAGCGAGGACTTCGGCCGAATTGCGTGTACTTTCACGATGCGCCTACTCACAGCAGCTTCAGATTGTCCCCGTCATGCCAACAGCCCTGGTTGATCGTGCCGGCGTCCCATACCAAGACCGTTCGTGCATCTCCTTCATCTCACATCTGCACGATTCCTTGCTGACTTCTACAACAGGCGAGTACTGGGTCAGTGTATTACTTATGTGCGAAGCCGCCGTCGCATGCATTTGCTGCCCCATATTCGGTTACATTGTTGATGTCTCGCCCACGCGCCAATTCCCTTACCTGCTCGGACTCATCCTCCTCGGCGCATCCATGGTCATCCTCTCAATTGCGCATACAATAGGCTTGTTTATTGTCGCCAGATTGTTGCAAGGCGGCGCGACGGCCATGGTCGCCGTCGCAGGTCTCGCGCTCTTGACAGACTCCGTTTCGTTCGATAATCTCGGCCAGGTGATCGGCTACCTTGGCTCTTCTGTTGCGCTGGGGTTTCTGCTCGGCCCCTTGATAGGTGGGATCCTTTACGAGAAAGCTGGATACCAAGCGGTTTTCGCGATGGCGTTCGCGATCGTCGGTGTGGACTTGCTCATGCGGATCGCGGTGATTGAGAAGAAGGTTGCCCGTCAGTGGCTCCTTGAGGATTCGGAGACGAGTCAGTCAGGGCCCCACGCCGGGGGATATAACACCTTCGCCGGCGCATCAGAACCATCGGATTCCGAGTCACCCAAGTCGAAAAAACCAGCCCTGTTCCTCATTATCCGCCAGCCGCGGGTCATGATTGCGTCATGGGCTCTCCTAGTCCACGGGCTCTTGTATGCCGCTTTCGATGCAGTACGTTTTTCTCCTGTCCCACCAGGTTCCAGGTTACTCCAACAGATACTAACGCAGCCACCACACCCCAGACAATCCCCGTATTCGTCGAAACCCGATTCCACTGGGGACCGCAAGGTGCAGGACTAACATTCCTCCCCTCAGCTATCACCGCGTTCTTCGAGCCCTACTTCGGTAAGATCCAACCCAAGAATGGAAGAAGCCATCGACACTTTCTAACCGCCCCGAAGGCTACCTCTCAGACCGCTACGGTGCCCGCAAAGTAACACTAACCGGCTTCCTCTTCCTCTCTATCCCCCTCGTCTGCCTCCGCTTCGTCGAATTCAACACAACCTCCCACATCGTCCTCCTCATCACCCTCCTCACCTTCATCGGCCTCCTCATGAACCTGTGCGTGCCCGCCCTCTACGTCGAAACCCAGAAGGTCCTCGAGGACATGGAGCGCGAGCGACCAGGCATCTTCGGCAAGAAGGGCGCGGTAGCGCAGGCGTTCGGCGTGCAAACCATGGCACAATTTCTAGGACTCTTTGTAGGCCCGCTTTGGGGCGGGTTTATTGAGTATCGGTTCGGGTGGAAGAATATGTCCTGGACGTTGGCTTTGTTGGCCGGGTTGACTGCTATTCCGATGTTGTGGCTCAGTGATGAGGGTGAGAAGGTGAGGGGAGTTGAGGAGGGGGAAGAAGAAGAAGAAGAAGAAGAAGAAGAAGAAGAAGAGAGGACGAGGTTGCTGAATGGGGAGGGTGCGTAGGGTTCTCTTTTTGTTGGTTTGCGGTATGGATACTCTGTAACATATACATGCATGGTATTTGTATTTGGGTAATTTGGTTCTGGGTGAAGAATAGCCCTAGATACTAGATAAAAGTCGGTATACTACAAGATTAAATCTGGATAGATCTACATATTTAAGGGATATATGTACGAAATGGTGTGTGTGTGTGTGTGCGCGCGCGCGCGCGCGAGAGAGAGAGAGAGCGAGTCCAATATCAAGCCATAGAGTATAGACAGCGCCTTCAAGACTTGAAAAGGGAGTGAGTCTGGACTATTCCTATATCTAATGATCTATACAGTACTAGGTACATACATGTTGAACACACCCGACAATCAATACATCAACACACCAACAACAACTCAAACAACACTTTTCTTCAATGTCAACACAAGGGATCCCTCCAAATGTAACCCTAGACATACCTACCTGTCCGCAGACCCCGAAATGAACTAGACAATTACAGCCTACACAAACCGACAGTAAATCTTTTACCAATCCAGTCCTTATATACATACATAACCATATTTTTTAACGAAGGGTGAGGTGGAGGGAGAAGTTAGGGGTAGTTACCGGGTATGGAGAAGGTGATTTGGTTTCCTAGACGGAGGGGGACTGGATATCACTGATTGCCATGTTAATGCGGTTGGTGAGGTTTATCAGGTCTGGTATTGTTGTTGTGTCAAGACCGTATTCGTGGAAGACTGATTAGGTGAGTGCGTGGAATAAGGGTTATGAGGGTGAAGTCGGGGGAGGGATGCTCTCGGGGCCGGAGATTGAGTGTGAATTGTGGTTCATGAGCCGGATGTGATGTTTTTGGTGGGAGATTCGAGGGTGGATGATGGGGATGCGCCGGCTGCTTCGTAGGTTAACTTCTACTTTGTTAATGAGGGGTCGGTTGTGTCGGGGTTTGGGGATCCCGGGAGATGTGTTGTATTATATGACGCAGCAGGTTCCCTTGTTAGGGGGTTCGGGTGTCTAATCTTATGTAGTGTGATAGCAGTCGTTACGGAGGTTTTGTACCTGGCGTAGTGATTGTTAAACGGTGCCACCATCGTCTGTTCTGCATTCACTATTGTGTTTGAAAGATGATGGCGCATGCGATATGTGGAATTGACAAGACAGACCTCGAGGGAGGAGGTATAAATAAGATTAATGAGTATAAGGAGTTCAGGGGCGTATTATAAGGAAAACCAATCCCTCCTCAAAGCAGGAAAGAAGTCAGCAAATCCACATTCTAGTACTCGACATTTTATCGTATAATCACACTGGTCCATACTCAACCAGACATCTGACAAGGTTGATGGCCAAATCCCATGACTTCATGTACACGTTAGTTCAAAGTATATCAGAATATAATCCAACCCGGGAAAGACAAAGAAGAACGAAAAAGTAAAGGTAAGCTCAGGTAAGACGTTTTCAGTTTCCAGTCCATCCAAAACCCAAACGCCGTTCATGCGCAAACCGAACGCCACGCAAACATTTTGATACCGTAGACGTCATTCAAAAAGATTTGTATACGCAAAAGGCTAAAGGAAAGAGACCAATCACAAGCTCAACTGGTCGATACTTCCTACTCGACCGCTCCCGCCTAATCGGCCGCCGCCCTTCGTCACCATCCCTAATCGATAGAAACGCTCCTCTCCGCCGGGTGTCCTCCCACCAATGTACCATTTCTCCGGCCCGAGAGCGTCTCGGAACCCGCCTGATCCGTTGGAGCTGTCGCTCCCGCGTCGTTGGCGGTCCGGCCCATTGGCAATCGGAATAGGGTTGGATGGAGTTGGCGGGGACGATGGAGCTGGAGGGGTGGCGGATGACGAAGGTACCGGGGAGTCCCCGGCGGGAGACGATTGATTCAGCGGGGATCGGGTATGTGAGTGGGGTCGGGAGTGGGAAGCGGCGGCTGAAGATGAGTGGTGATGATGATGATGATGATGATGATAATGAGTCGTAGAGGCAGCCTCGGAGGACGCCCCTGAGCTGCTTGCCTTGGTTGCTATAGCGCGGGCACTCTGTGATATCTGAGTCGGCGAGAGAGAGGAGGAGGTGCCTGTGGCCGACTGGGAGCCAGCGGCCGAGGCCTTAATCGTTGACTGGGCGCGAAACGCCGCCAAAAAGTTGGCCAAAAATGGACGGTTGGTAGACATCGTGATGAAGACCAGTCGTACGAGGCAGATCGTTAGAGCATGAATTAGAAGCTGGGCAATGGTGTCGCGGTCAGATTGACCACGAACGTCAAGTGCTGTTGTATTTGTATCTTTAGCCAAGAAAGGGTTCCCCGCGGCAGCGACAGGGCTCTCGAGATATAGATAGGATCTGAGTGGAGGTCGGCACAAGGGAAAGAGTTGGCGGCAATGATCCGAATACCGGCGAAGGGTCACTAAGTAACGGTCAAGATCTCAACCGCGACGAACATAACACTAAAGTACCCCTGGACACATGCACGGTGGATGATAGTCGATGACGATCGGCGAGTCTGCGGCGAGGGATTTGAAAAAGAGGACGAAAGAAAATAGGACGCCAGAGTTTGAGGAAACGCATTCAATCCAATCGATTTCTCCGAGGTATCCCGTGGTCGGGGAGCCAATCAGTGGAGGCACATATAAAGAAACTCACGGGTGACGTCTTCCTTCTCCTCTCGTTTTCCGGTTTTTGACTTTTGCTCTGCTTCGTCTTCTTCTTTATGCGGCAGAAGTTAGGAGGTAGTAAATAACATTACTAGTTGACTCTTCTTAAGGCCGTCGTAATCATTAGTCACTGAAAAGAGCACAAACCCCTTCGTACGAATCGGATATCCCAAATCTACTCTCCCGCGGAGGGGAAGTTCACCAGAAGAAAACGTGGGGTTGGCTTTGGTGGCATCTGACAATTCATTAGTCTGTAGTCTGGAACTCCCACTACTCCATACTACATACAACTAGTGCTATCCATAGGGAATTCTCGGGTTCCACTGCCATCCGGGCAAATGGGTCTCAAGTCACTGGACCAGGAATCACATCCTCTATCGAGCCCTTCATCACGGGATACAGCTACTTTACTTAGTAGTCCGACGACTACCCGGGTGGCATGATGAAACCGTGGGACATAGACAGTTATAGTTATTACTTTATTATTATTAATTATACATGTCTCCTCAGGACTCTATGTGATATATCCTACGTAATGAATGGCAGGAGGATACATTGGAACAATAATAATTTTAATAGATCTGTATTTTTATTCTTTTTTAATTCCCTCATTATCCCTTTTAGCTTCGAGAATCTAATCCGATCGGAGTCTATATTCTAATTTTTGGATTCCCTTGGCGTTTTTTTCTGTAATTCCACCCAAATGTTTTCTCCATCCAGCCTGGCCGAGAGGACGAGTTGCCTCACTCCCAACCCAGGACCTGCCATAAACCCCCGCCAGAGAAAAGGAAATGAGACACAATGCAACCAAATAGACACAAGCAAGACAACCGACGTATAACACATCATGGGGGGCTGACCAGGGGCATGTCCCAGCGCACATCAACAGAAGCTCATCGACCAGGCTCTCCAACGCTGTAGGAGGCGCAGGAGCCTTTGCCAACGTCCGCCGGGCAACCCAGCCGCGACACGTATGAAGAAACAGATGGCTACCTTTTCACACAATTCGAGCAGAGATGGAGAACAGAAGACACGAAACGACAACACCAAGCACAGTAAAAAAAACATAAAAAAAAACTCAACAAACATAGATGAACAAAAACACCTCAGTCCAGCTCAAGTTCATATGTCCGAGCAGAACACCTCGAATGTACTTACATGGTTGGTCGGGGGAACGACATGCGAATCGAATCAGAACGGTTGTGAGGTCTATGCAGAACAAACCCGAACGCTGCTGAAGTCGGCCGGCGCGCTCGGGGGTCGACCAGGTAATGAAACAGGACACAATGCGAATCGCAACGAAGAGTCGACAGAGGCCATCCCACGCGAAATCTTTTTGGGGCACATTGCAAGAAAAAATGATGCAAAGCTGAACAGGAATACAAACACAAGAAACACATGCCCAGGTCTATTTGTCGGACGCCGGATAAAAGCCACACACCATCCCATCTACCCACTCATAATGGATGGAAAGAAACAAAACTGAACCAGGACCACCACAAGATTGCACTCGCCGTATAAAAATGCTGACACAATTTTGAAACCCAACAACCAGACACAGGTGACCGTATTTCGTAAAAATAAGAAGAAAAAAAAAACTGTTTGAGTCGAATGCGATCAAGCGAGCAACGCCGGACTGTTTGTGACATAGCCCACACACTTCAGATAGTATTCAGTTCTCGGTCGCGGCGATAATGCAGTCAAAGTGCATCTGCACAGCCGATGCCGAAACGGTGGAACGGCGCAGATTCCATATAGTGACCCGTAAATCCCTATTAGAGTGATCTGGCGCGTGTCTTCAGCAAGCTAGACTCATTGAGATACTTCAGAGGCCTAGTAGTCTTCCGACCAAAAAGAAAAATTTGACTATACAAAGCTCCATCTTGATTTGCACGAACAAAGTCCGAAATCAACAACGCAGTCGACCGTCACGCATTCGTTTCGATTCGCCACTATTGCCTCGCGGGCGGGACGGTACCTAGGTTTTTTGTGTGAGCCAAAGACGACGCCTTGATCGACCGGAAAGATCGTATTAGGATTCATGCGACTTACCATCACCGGCCAAAGTGGTCGAAGCCAAGTAAAGACCGTTCATGCCACCTTCCTGGGGACCACCGGTCGTGGTAGGATAGAATTTCCGTTCGGTATCGACGTGAGCATGGATCGGCTCCTGGCCAGACGCCATGGATTGGGGGAAAACGGGGTTGATGTAACCATCATTCGCTCCGGGCTGAAACATCGAAGTCCAGTCAATTTCGCCAGTGTGATTGGGAGTGGGCCCAGGCATTACTGGGCGCTTAGGGTCTTGGACCACCGGGGGTTTTACCTGTTCATAGGAAGGACGGTCAACACTCAGCTGCTGAGATACATCAGTGCCAGGTTGCGCGAGATACGGGTTCTGCTTGGGAGCCGCCAGCCAGGGGCCTCTCTGATGTGGCTGACCAGCGGGGAACGCGTCATCCGGTTGACCACGGTTCATCCCATTGACCGACGACATCGAAAAGCCCAGAGGCTGCTGATCCGTGAACCCAGGTCGGCCTGAAGCCAGCCCGTTACCGTTCACGGCCCCCTCGCCGTAAGCCGTACCCGGAAGGGCAGTGGCAGGAGGGACGGTACTACTGACTTCATCCTGAACCGGTTTAGCAGGATTCGCAGCTTGAGACCTCTTCAAATGTGCCTGGGGATGCGACAAGTGGGTCGCTCCCGTCGGGTTGCCGCGTCGTAACGAGCATTTCTGGAAGTGGCGCTTCAAAATATCACTACGGGAGAAAGTGTCCTTGCACAGAACACACATGTATGGGCGGTCACCGGTATCTGCGCAGAAAAGCAAGATTTGTCAGCGAAATTAAGAACCCTCGGCGCACTCCAAAATAAGAATTCGGAAACTCACGTCTGAGCAAATGACGCTTCAGATGTTTGGCGTGAAGATAGGTCTTGTTGCAGTGCGGGCAAGGAAATTTTCCATCGGCATCCTTGGCCGGAATTGTGGTGTTCTTCGCCGTGCCATTGACGCCGTTTGCGACTGGCGTGGCGCGTCCCGGAACGCTCGGGAGAATTCCGCGTCGGCCTTGAGAGCCAACCACCTGTGTACGGGGGGGCTCCTTTGCACCGTAGGGCGAGGCACCATTTGCGCCCGCAACAGGATCCGGGTTCATCCAGGGTGAGCCCTTGCCATCTGAGTAGCTGAAAGCACCGGAGGGCATGCCAGAAAAGTCCGGGCGCCGGTCCCGCGGGGGTGCCGGCGCGATTGGCTGCGGATATGTCTGCGCGCTAGAAGCCGGAGGCAGCACGCTGTGAGGTGGAGGATATTGCGAAGGCTGGGGCTGTGCCTGCGGATTGGGGTGGGAGAGGAACGAAGATGGAGGCAGGCTACCCACGGTGGTGTGAGGCATGATAGGAGCAGTAGACGACGCGTAAACATCGTGAGTAGAAGTGGGAAACCTCGACAGATCCGGCCTATACGCCGGCTGGCCCATGTAGGAATGAGGGGCAGGAGATTGGCTGTGATGAGGCTGCAGCGGGGGGAGAGTATGAGGCTGGGACACTGGGTACTGAGGCTGCATGGTGTACTGAGGCATTGGCATACTCGAGATAGTAGTCGGGAGAGGCGTGGAGCCTTGGGGTAAGCTGGTGGATGGGGGCCGCGACGGATGAGATCTGGGATCCATCATGAAGCGGAGAGAATATCAGATGGAGGGGAAGAACAGGGTTGGACTGGAGGTAGAGTTCACGGTGTCCCGATCATCGATTGAAGAACGAGAAAAACCTTTTCGCCGGCTGGTCTTTTGACGAACAGGCAAGCGTGATACGTGTGCTCTCGACTGCCAATTCTCACTGCAAACGAGAAATGGATCACTTTCTGCAGAGTTTTCCTCCTGTAGTTCTTTTCTCTATCCTCGTTCTGGTACGTTTTCTTTTGATTTTCCTCTTCCGACGGAATGAATTCTCCCACTTAACGCGGTGATAGGACGGGGATATGGAGACGTCCGGAGGGTAAATTCGATCGGACAATCAATTCCTCAACCAGCAAACGCTCAAGGATCCTTGCAGTCGATGATGGGGGCGTACAGGAACAAGTGTGACTCCACTGCAGAAAAGAAGTCAGGATGAGGTCGAGATGCTTAATCGTGAATTCCCCACGGTCACCCACCAGGAAAATCGAGTTGTGTGGGAACTTCTTTTTATCCGCACGTTGTCAACAGTCAATGGTCCTGATCCACCAGCGAGGCGGCGTGTATGTGGGTCTCACAACAACCAGCAGTGCTTAGAAGGAAAAAAAAAAGCAGCTAGTGCTTCGCGTCAACAATGCGCGAAAGGGACCAGGATTTTCAGAAAGATACAAAATTTTAAAATCAAATGAGAACTGTCAGGAACAGTGCAGTTACAGGTGCGGAGTCCACAACAAGTATGAAAAGAAAGAAGAAAGGGGGGCGAAGGGGAAAAAGAAAAAGAATTGATAGAATAATAAAAAAAAATTGAAAATTGAAAAAAAAGGTTAACACGGTAAAAAAAAAAAAATAAAAATAAAGATTATTTTTTTTCCAAAACGACAGCACCCAAGGTAGCCGTCTAATCACGGGAATGGAGGGAGGGGAAAGGGGGGCGACGAACGGCGGCGGCGGCGCAAAGTTAAGAGGGAGGGCAGAAAAAATAAGTGTCAGAATTCGGAATAGAAGGTCAAGACACGCTTAGGAAAAGGAGGGAGAGAAGGAAGAGTAAGAAAAAAGGCGATTAGTACTAAACCGATTGAAGAAGGTTGAGAGGGCGGTGACGATCGTAACTCGCGGAGGCAAAAAGCCATCTAGAGAAAATAAAAATAAAATTTTAAAAAAATGTCGAACCAGAAAAAAAATTTATCAGAAGAGAAAAATAAAATCAAATGGTCATGTATTATTTGTTTCTGTTATTATTACGCTGGTCAACACCTAACATTTGGAACAATTACTGCTGCCGTCCACTTGATTCGTGCCTCACTATCCGGGACCCGAGAGTTCAATAAGAGCCGAGTAATCGACATGTTTTGCTGGTATTTTAGGCATGTTAAGGTTTCCAATCATGTAGTATTAGGAACCGTTAACAGGCAAATCTGGTGTTCTACGGTTGAAGATATTGTAAATCTCTGGCTCATCTACTAAACGATCAACTATCTCGAAGTCAAAAGGAATGGTCAAATCATTTGCTCTAGATCAGAAAACGGCAAAGTCGGCTCAGCGGTCACAACCAATTCCGAACATCGACCGGGGGAAGGCAATTTGGTAGGCAGTAGCGCGGCAAGCAGGGGAAAAAGAAAGGATGAAAACACCGTTCCGCCCTAGGCAGATAGCGTCGGTTGGTCAGTTTTATTTTATTTTCCCTCCTTTTTAATTGTTTTCCGAGTTTTCTTAAGGTCTTGTTCGAAGATGACGAAGGTGGTTGGAGGGAAGTTCGGGCGTGTACCGAACACAGTTGTCGGGGAGTACCATAATAGTATCCTTGCCGCATACGGCTACGTAAAAGATACTTGGCAGTAACCTGTCGTTACCGGTTTACACGGTACCTCGAATTACCAACGCAAGCGGACAATCGGTTGGTTAATCGTTCGAGCCAAGAGATTTATTTAGAATCAATAGGAAATCAAAGAATGAAAGGGGAAAGGAAAAGATATGAAAAAAATGAAAAAAAAAA